GATACATGGAGATGATGATGGATGTGAAGCACTTACTGTTAAACTTGGTTAAGAATATTTCCGGTTTGACATCAGAGATAAGAAAGATTAAGAGTATCCAAAGAAAATATATAACATCCCGACTCCGCAGGGTCTAAGGTTGTTTCTCATGAATGTCATCCAGACTCAGTACATTCCTCACAAACCAACACAAGCCTTTTATCGCGCTCTTTGCCCAAACTCATGTGCTTTGAGAAACTTCCCAAATGGTCATGCATCATAAGGTTACTCTTGTGAGAGCACGCTTAATTTGGAGTTCTTAGCAGATAAGATCTCTTAAAAGGATATGCACCTTGTTGGTATAAGTACCAATCCTTTAAAGCTAATACGAAGTATTACAATTACCCTAACTTGGGTACGCAACGTCCCAGTTGCACTGATAAACCAATCTCAGTCAACCTCCAGAATCCTTCCCTGTGAAGTGTCTGCCTGATATCCACCAGATTAGCACACTACCGCAGGATTGCCTTGATACCACTTGTCTCACCCGCCTCACAAGGCTCGCACCCTCATAAATGTCCCTGGTGGTCACCCATCCTAAAAATATTCCCGTGTGAGCAGTGCCGGCTTTGGACCCTAGGAAGACAGGCAGCTGCCTAGGGCACCACTCAAAGTGGGGGCACCATTTTTAAAAAAACTAATACGGTACTTAGAGACTTATAGTGCACAGATGTATGAATTAAAATGAATTTGTAGTATTCAAAATGTGGAAAGATAAAAAAATACTATGTGCATTATAGTATAAAAAGGCCCACGCACTGACGCACTTAGTCACTGACCCATCACCTATACCCTATTACCTATATAAGTGTTTGACTAGTTGATAATCAATCCTTGAAGTTTAAATTTCAGTTTTTATATTTTCTTTTTGCATTCTTTGGAGGTGTTGGAGAAGAAGCCATTTCTCTCCTCTACAATTGGTTCTAGGTACTATTTCTTGTATGTTATTGTATTTCCTTTATCTTAGTTACACTTTTGTAATTAGTATGAGCTCAAGGAGCTAAGTCCTCAGGTAAGGCTAGGGATGAACTTCTATGCCCACTAGATGTTTGATAAAAGTTCTAAACCAATAAATTGTGATTTATCCTTTATATATTGATTGTTTATGACTATGGTGTACAACATAGAAGTATGTTAAATTTAGTTTATGTTTGCAATTAACGTTGAAGTCTAAACTATGAACATTAAAGGATAAACATATATATTACCGAGAATAGAAATATATCCGGTGTTATATAATATGGGTGTGATGTCTTGATATTCAACGTGGCTTTTGGTAGATGAATGTAAGCCGTAACGGGACTTACACGTAACGAAAACCACGCTCTCGCTGCCTTAACCGGAGTTGAGAATATATTAGCGACATTGTATTCATAATTATTGGCAAAGAACTAATATTCAACCCTATTAAAGCATTTAAGTGATTCCCGAAGCCTTAGTTGTTGTTATCATTCATCTTAAATTCGAATTAATTAAAGTTATTTCCTTGGATTAAAAGTGAAAAGCCAAAAATATAAAACACAAACCAAAAATCTCTGCACTTTACTCATTAATTTATTTAAAGTCATCTACTCTCGGACTAAATTAAACAATGTTTCCCTGTGGATTCGACCCGGTATTTTATCGGAATTTATTATTATATCGGCACTTGTACACTTGCAAGTTTAGCCCGGTCACCGCCGCGTTAGTGAAGTTATTTTCCCCAAACCCACACTGTTCCCCATTAGGGATTTTTTTACCGGAACTGTACTCTATTGAAACGGGGAATGCTTTTCCCCGAGTCCTCGCGGGTAATCACATTATTAAAAAATAATTTTATTCTTCCAAAAGAATATCACTAACAGACAATTATTTAATTATCTATTGATCATTGAGAAAATTTTCAATGAGCACTACAAATCAAATCAAAACTTATAAGAACAATGGACACTCTCTCTTATAGCTTAAAAGGGAGTTTTACATACTCCATAATATATTACATAATACATATTATATATACTAGTCTATCCATCCATGCTTTGCACGGATAATCGATGAAATTAATTTATTTTTGAAAATAATTCATATCATGAGTAATGTGTATAGAGCTATGAAAAACTAAGCACTAGTCGAACTCTTGTTTTCTTATGTAAAATACTACTAGTACGTAACTTTCTTATGTAAAAAAAACGTAACTTTCTCTTTGTTATCTCATTTTATGTGTCTTACTTTTCATTCGAATTGTTTCAAAAGAAGTGTCATATATTTCCATTTTTGCAAAGAAATATGTGGTCTACATAATTTCACTTTATTATACTTAAACTGAGTTTTTTCCATTTTGGTCCCTTGATTATTGCGTCAATAGATAATCAATAGACTAAAATGATCAAATCATTTATTTATCTATAAAATGGATTTAAATGATCAATAGACTAAAAATGATCAATATTAATTTTCAATGAGCACTACAAATCAAATCATTGAGAAAATATTATACACTTTTGGTACTCGACTTTTAATTTTTCCAATTTTAGTCCTTGATTATCGTGTTAGACACACTTTTAATCCTTAACTTAAAGTTTCCCACATTTAGTCCCCTGACTATTATCAATTTTACAGTTTTATTAGTCCTTCCACTATGTTTCTGACACAATAAGTCATAAGTGGAGGACTAAAAACGTCACTATATAATGGTTGAAGGTAGGGATGGCAACGGGGCGGGTTAGGGGCAGGGGTTCACTCCCCCATCTCCTGCCCCATGTGTAAAAACTTCCCCCATCCCCCGTTATGCCTAGACCCGCCCCACCCCGCTGTCCCCCACGGGTGTCCCCATATTTATATTTTAATTATCTTATATGTGTATTTTTTTAATCCATTTTATAGATAAATATATATATATATATATATATATATATATATATATATATATATATATATATATATATATATATATATATATATAACACTAAAAGAGTTAAAGCAGATAATATTGTGTTTGATAAAAGATAATACCGCCAAATTTTATTAACTCTTAAATTTGAATAAGTTCTACGAAAATAATAAAACTAAAAATATAAGTAAACATATTATAATCATGTATGCCATTCCAAATTTGTCATTAATAATTGGGAAAAGGGTCAAATAAGGCCTTCTACTATTATGAAATCGTCACATAAGACTATATACTCAATAAAGTGTCATATAAATATGTCTACTTATAAAAAAAATTGAATGAGTCAAAATGACCTTTTGATGACAACCTCATAATCCCGGTTTTAGCATATGTCTCACTATCATTTTAAAATAGATTATATGATTGACATGGAATATTAAGTTATGATTGACTTAAATCAAGATAAAAACAACGACATGTGAGCTAAAGTCATGATTAAAAGGTTGTCAACGGGTCATCAGGACTCATCCGATTTCTTTTTATAAGTAGATGTATTTATATGACACTTTATTAAGTAGATGACCTTATGTGATGATTCCAACGCCTTATTTGATCGAACCTTTTCTCTTAATTATAATACAAATCATTTTATATATTTGTAGGTAGTCCTATAAATGTAAAGCCATGTACTCCAATCTACATTCAAGAAGAATATATCAATTCCTTTACATCTTCATGGCATGAAGAGCCTATCTCTCACGAGCACTCCATTACATTTTTTTCCCTTCTCGTCACCACCACGACTATCACTGATACAACATCCGTCATCTACATCACTACTGTTGCCCACTTCCCAAACAAGCTCACTACCTCCAATTTTCCCGGGTGGAAATGTCAGGTCTACAATGCTTTGGTTGGATTGGGTCTTTACTCCTATGTTAATGACACTCTTTCCAAACCCAATTAGTTTACTGATGTAGTAAAACTCCAGTAAACCCATGTTATACTACATGGTATCGCCAGGACAAATCCATCATTAGTGCGCTTCTTGGAAGCTGCTCTGCAACTATACAACCTATCATCTCCTCGGCTACCACTTCCGAAAAGCATGGGACAAATTAGGTGTGACCTATCCTATCACCTCTCAAGGCGTATCATTTCCCTCTAAACCACGCACGCACGCACTATGCGTGGGCACCCGCTCCATCACAGAATATCTGGCAAAGATGTATGGTCTCTATGAAGCGTTATCATTGGCTCAAAATCCCCTGTCAAAAGAGGATCTCGTCATCAACATCCTCAATGGTATTGGTCTTGACTACAATGAGACTACTTCAGCAATCCAGGTGCGTTTTAGTGCCCTTCCTCTCGCTGAATTGCAGGATATTCTCATGGTGTGACACCGCGCCCGAACGTCCTTGAAAATTTGATTTAAAAATTCAAAGTTTATGTATTGGATTTCTGTTTCCCAAACAATTGTAAAACGATTAATGTTTTACGTAATTAATGATCGATTAGTGTACTGTTCGAACTCGTATATTAGTGACGGGCATGCAAATACTATTTGGGTCTTATTAATAAATAAAAGAGCCCAACATTATCCAAATTGTGATACATGACCTTTCAAGACAGTCCGAGTAAGGTCAGACGGCCCAAACGTTATTTTGAGTCCAACCTGCTAAAAATAGCAAGTATTCGAGAATGGCGTTCTAGACCCACTCGGGAGTGACCCACATGGCTAGTAGCCCATTAATATGTATGACAAATGTCAAATAAGTGATAGAATGATTAAAGAAGAATACAAATGCCTATAACCCCATCTTTGGCATTATTGAGCTAAATAATGGGAGTAGGATTTTCCTTCTATAATATCCATCAAGTAAATTATTGGGATGATCATACACATAATGGAGATCAATAATATGATGTAGAGAGTTGACTTGTTCTAAATAAATTAGAATGAGTACAAAGAGACATCTTATGACAAAGAGATCAAAAGTGAGACCCACCCATGTCTAAAAACATCTCATGGAGACCATACCAATTCATTTCACTCCACACAACTTATCCACCCTTATTGAAGGGTCTTGGACACTCCCTTAAGCCCCTCATTCGAACTCCCAAGGATAAGGGAGAAGGAGAGAGCCACACAACCAAGAAAGCAAGAGAAAGGGGAAGCTGCCGCAGGTTCGTTTTCCAGTGCGTAAGGTTACTTGTTTGCTTCATATCTCGAGTTATACACATCCAAATAAGGCGTGCGAGATACCCACAGAAAGCTCTCAAGACGAGGAATCCGTGAAGGTCTGGTTTGCATCAATCGGAGTAGTGTAAGGCTTCCAAATCGTCCGAGCAAAACACAACCTCGCGGAATACGTTTTTGTACTCAAGGTAAGTTTGAATCCAAAACTTTCCTCTCTATTGTCTAAACCATATAAATGATTGAAGAACTATTATACACTGATTGAAGTGTATAAAATGTTATTATAAAGTGACTTTAATTGTTGGAAAAGTTAGATACTAATCTAGACAAAACCTTGAAAGGTTAGGGAACGATTTCGTCGGGAACACCCGTTCTAGGGACTGTTTTTGTGTCCTCGGTTAGGAGTTGAACTAGCACTTTGGAGAGGCTGTTTAACACTCAATTCCAAGCAAGGAATCAGTTCTCAATCTTCCTTGGCCAAAGCTTTGACCATGGGATCAAGAAAGAAAGGTTTGAAGCTCAATTAAGGTGAGGATGACCGACTATATTGCTTATAATTATTGGGTTAATTTCATAAGATTACCTAAATGAATTATATGTGTTTGGCATGATTTATTTATAATATAACAAAATGCCTAAATGAGATTATTATTGTTTATAAGTAAAAGTGCATAATATACAAATTTATGAATAAATTGTGTATGATTATGTATTATGAATACAATGGTATAATAGCGTGTAAACTATAAATCAATTGTGATAAATATACTTTTACCTCATGTAAGGAAGTCATGGAAGGATAAAAGTGATATTTTGATATTAGAACCAAGTTATACTTGAATGTGGAATTAAATTGAAATAGCCAAATTACTATGAAATTGCATTGGCTTATTAAGGTTAAATGATTAGTATAGAAATACTAGCCGGGGATGTTAGCGTAAAAAGTGATAGAACAAATCCTAAGGGCTTGGATTGTGAAGGATGCACCTTAAGTAGTCTTATGAGATGTCTTAAGGTAGGAATGGGTAACCGCTAAATTACATTAGGAGTAGGCCTCATAGGCTACTCAAGATAGAGAAAACCTAGGCATAGAATTTGCTTAGTGAGTAGTATCGTGACTAGAGGAAGCCTCTAGCACGATGAGGAATGACTGGAGGAAGCCTCCAGCATTCGTGTAGGACGACTAGAGGAAGCCTCTAGCGTAGTGTAAGATGACTAGAGGAAGCCTCTAGCATAATGTAATGTGACTGGAGGAAGCCTCCAGCACAAAGTATGAAAGGTGATTAGAGGAAGCCTCTAACACCGAATGTAGTGACTAGAGTCAGCCTCTAGCACGACAAAACATGACTAGAGGAAGCCTCTAGCATAATGTAATGTGACTGGAGGAAGCCTCCAGCACAAAGTATGAAAGGTGATTAGAGGAAGCCTCTAACACCGAATGTAGTGACTAGAGTCAGCCTCTAGCACGACAAAACATGACTAGAGGAAGCCTCTAGCATGGTAAACTGATATAGATGGGTGTGGCTTGAAGTCACGGGGGAGGGGTTAAATGTTTTCAAAGTAAACATGAGCCTTCGGCCGACTACTTGACTTTATATATAAAGTAAGTATATTTGTAAAGAGGGTAACCACGAGTTATGACCTATATTGTAATATCACCCTATTTGAGGGTCTTGGAAATTGAAACGTTGATTATACTTAGTATAGTTGTCATTGTACTTGTCAAATGCTTCCAAGTACTGACCTCCCCTTCACGGGGGAGGCCACCTCACAGTTTCAGGTAGGACTTGAAGGTTGCTACCACGCCCGTTGCTTCGGGAAGATCAAAGGAGGAGGACGTGGTTCGTGCTTCTTCCGTTTCTGTTTTAAACAATTACATTAATGCTCATGGAAATTATTTTGAATACTATTTGGGGGCTTGTATGCCCATGTTTGCCACGTGTGGCTTGAATACGTGTATTAATGTTTCCGCTGCTTTAAATGAATATTTTACATTATGTTTGTTTATGGATGTACTATGTGTGAATGGTATTCAAGACGCCTAGTATAGTATGTATGAGTTGGACTGCGGTTGACTATTCGTACTGTACGGCGGGTTGTTGACGTGTCCGGTAGGTCCGGGGCGTGACAATTTAATTGGTATCAGAGCCTTAGTCCATAAACTTCATAATGAAGTCTCAAAATTCTCTTTTCAAAATGATTTTTGAAAACCATGAGCAAAAATGTTTTGTACTTAAGAACTTTTGGTGTTTGAGTTGCAAGGTCTCTAATTGTTAAGATGGCGCCCTTAACGATTGGTATGGCGGTGACTTGGCCCAAGAGATGTCTTAAGTGCCTATCTGTCAGTTGACATTTGAAACGAGTCTAATGACTCATTCTAATTATTTCTTTCAGCGATGGAGGGTGATGGTGGTATTATGAATAGGGAGAACTCGGAAGGGTTTGCACCGGGTGGAACCGGGCATGCCAACCGAGAAAAGCCCTTAGGACCAAAGGTGCACGAAACTCTTGAAGCTCAAATCGTGAGTGGTGGTCATGTTAAGACTAGGGGTGGGCATGGGTCGGGACAGTTCGGGATTAGGGTTATCCCGGTCCCGTCCCAATTAATAATAACGGGACGGGACGGTACGGGACAAGCCTTTGTCCTAGTCTTGTCCCATTTAAATCGGGACCGGGATGGTTCGGAACGGTTCGGGACGGTTCGAGACGTCCCAAACTAACAAAAAATAATCATTTGTAATTAATATATATTAGCATTTCTAAAGTATCATGCACCAAAATATTAACATTTTAAAAGTTAATTGATGTTCATCACAAGCTAAAAGCTACTACGTATTAGATTTTAGTTAGGTTTAGCAAAATTTTAAATTTAAATTTAAAACAAAGCAAAAATGAATTAGTTTATTCAAAATCATGTGTTCTAGCTGTGAGATACTCATATGTAGATATATAAAGTGGGATAAAAATCTATGTTAGTAAATATTCATGTTAGGTATTATTTTTAATTTAAAAATTGGGCTTGAAGAACTAAAAACATGTTACCATTTATTTTTTGAGTTGACATTACACACTAGTCACATGCTACAAAATCTATATAGTTATTACAAACGGGACAACGGGACGGTTCGGGACAACCTTCCAATGTCCCGGTCCCGTCCCGTTTTAAACCGGTACGGGACCGGTGCGGGACAAAATCAATGAGACCCAAACGGAACGGGACAACACCGGTACGGTTTCGGGATATACCGGAATGGGACAACGGGACCGGGATTCTTGCCCGCCCCTAGTTAAGACCAAGGAAGAATCACCTTGTTATGGCAAAACTGAACCACTCAAGGCTTCGGGTGACGAAGGAGATGATTTGAGTGATGAGGACCTTGATGGTGCACCCATTGAACAAATGGGCATGGTCATAGATTGGCTTCAACGTGAACGTGTGAGGCTTATACAAAAACGCCAAGCTAGGCAAGCTGAGGGCATACCATTAGTAAGGAAAAGGAAGCGGGGAGACAACGATTCCCAAAGACATTCAAGGAGGACAAACGTTGAGGGTGACAAAACCTTCAGGGCGCAGACACTATCACTTGAGTGGAGTCGAGGCTTGGGTGGCCCGAACTCGAGGTCAAAAGGTTCGAGGGTACCTAAGTGCAACAATTGCAAGAAACACCACTCGGGTAAGTGTCAGGACCCTCCCAGGTGCTATCAATGCACAGAGGTCGGGCACACGAGAGTGAGTTGCCCACAAATTGTGCAAAACCAAACTTCGGGGTCAAGTGGTGGAACTACAAGAAATGAAAACCAAACCGAGGTTTCTCAAGGGAGCAGGGGACATGGGGGAGCAAGCCCGAGCAACGCGCCATCCGTGAACCAAGGAAGGACCCAAGCTAGGGTCTATGCGATGACGGAGGCGGATGCTCAAGCTAACCTGGATTCCGTTGAAGGTAGTACCTCTTGTATACTTGTTTTTTATCCTTAATTAGTCCATAAATTGAGGTTGCTAGTCGTTGGGATCATTGTACGAAGCTTTGGGGTCAAACGGAGCGAAATCGGGCGAAAGACGGCTGATTTCCGCCAACGCACACCAGGCTGGACCATACGCACGGCCGTGCGTTGTCCGTGCGTTGGTCCGTGCGTTGGTGGCAGTAGCAACCGGGAAGAAATTGCTATACGCACGGCCGTGCGTTGTCCGTGCGTTGGTCCGTGCGTTGGTGGCAGTAGCAACCGGGAAGAAATTGCTATACGCACGGACGTGCGTTGTCCGTGCGTTGGTCCGTGCGTTGGTGGCAGTAGCTCCGTTTTGAGGTTATAAGACACGCACGCCGTGCGTACCTCCTAGGCACGCCGTGCGTACCTCCTGGGCAGCCCAAAGTCGACTTTTTCGCGCCGTATTGCAACGTTAAGACCCGTTCTTGATCCCAAACATGTGTGTGAACATAATAAACCTCTCTAAATGTATAAGAATGGTAGGAAAGGTATCTCACATGACTTATAAATGTAGGAACACTACAGATTAATGGGAAGGATGCGCGAATCCTTATCGATACCGGGGCGCAACGTTCATTTGTGAATGAAGCGTTCGCCAAGAGGTTGGGAGTGCAATCCGCACCATTGATGCAAACCTTAGTGGTATCAACACCACTAGGGGATGACGTGGAAAGAACTTGTTACTATCCATCTTGTGGGGTGGAGGTTAATGGTCAAACCTTGACGTGTGACTTCGTACCGCTGAGCATGGTTGAATTCGATGCAATCCTAGGGATGGATTGGCTAGAAAGGAACCATGCTAGGGTAGATTGCTACACGAAGGTTCTTGAACTCGAAGGCAATGATGGGGAGACCCTACGCTTCGAGGGCGATCGAGGGAGATCAAATAGCTGTATCATATCCGCCGTGAGAGCGAAAAGTATGATGAGAAAGGGATGCCACGCATATCTAGCATACGTGGTTGACAAAACCAAAGAAGAAATGAACATCGATGATGTGAGGGTGGTTTGTAAGTATCCGGATGTCTTCCCTAAAGACCTGCCGGGGCTTCCACCTGATAGGGAGATTGAATTTGTGATCGAGGTCGAGCCCGGCACCAAACCAATCTCCATACCGCCATACCGTATGGCACCCGCTGAACTTAACGAGTTGAAAACCCAATTGCAAGAGCTTTTGGATAATGGTTTCATTAGCCCAAGCCACTCCCCGTGGGGAGCACCAGTTCTTTTTGTGAAAAAGAAGGATGGGACACTTCGAATGTGTATTGACTATCGTCAACTGAACAAGGTCACAATCAAGAATAGGTATCCCTTGCCTAGAATTGATGACTTGTTTGATCAACTACGAGGAGCAACCGTGTTTTCGAAGATTGACTTGAGGTCGGGGTACCATCAATTGAAGATTAAGGAAGACGACATACCAAAGAGTGCTTTCCGCACAAGGTATGGGCATTTTGAGTTCCTTGTTATGTCGTTTGGGTTAACAAACGCCCCAGCGGCATTCATGGACTTGATGAACCGAGTATTCCACAAATACTTGGATCGATTCGTGATTGTGTTCATAGATGACATTTTGATTTACTCAAAGAATGAGGAAGAGCATGAAGAGCACTTGATACTCGTTCTTGAGACACTACGGGAGAAGCAACTTTATGCCAAATTTTCTAAATGTGAATTTTGGCTAAAGGAAATTGGCTTTCTCGGGCATGTGGTTTCGGGATCGGGAATTGCTGTTGATAATAAGAAGATAGAGGCCATTACTGAATGGGAGAGACCAAAGAATGTCAAGGAAATTTGTAGTTTCCTTGGACTGGCAGGCTACTACAGAAAGTTCGTGGAGAAGTTCTCTGTTTTGGCATCACCATTGACGAAGCTCACTCGTAAAGGAGCTAAGTTTGTATGGGATGACAAATGTGAGGAGGGGTTCATGGAACTAAAGAAGCGATTGACCGAGGCACCGGTACTTGCATTACCCAAACAGGGTGTGGGGTACGATGTCTATAGCGATGCGAGCATCCAAGGGCTTGGATGCGTACTGATGCAGAATGGGAGGGTAATCGCCTATGCTTCACGACAGTTGAAGAAACATGAGGTGAATTATCCTACTCATGACTTGGAGCTGGGGGCTGTGGTGTTTGCACTGAAGATATGGAGACATCATCTCTACGGGGAGACATGTCACATATACACTGATCACAAGAGCTTGAAATACGTGTTTACTCAGAAAGAGCTAAACATGAGACAGAGACGGTGGATGGAGTTGATAAAAGACTACCATCTAGTGATAGAGTATCACCCAGGCAAGGCAAACGTGGTGGCAGATGCTTTGAGTCGGAAGAGCTCGTCTGGGGCATTGCTAGCTAATTTGAGGGCATTAAGAGCCCAACTGGAGGTATCCAGCGATGGTGCCTTATTGGCACGATTTGAGGTGAGACCTACTTTACTTGATGAGATCAAGAAGGGTCAAAAGACTGACGCAGAACTTATGAAGGTCCGGGAACGCATGCAAGCGGGACCGGTGGAGGATTTCAGGGAAAGAGATGATGGTCTCTTGTTATTTCGTGACCGAGTGTGTGTGCCGTCAGATGATGAGCTCCGAAAGTCCATCTTAGAGGAGGCTCATTCATCGGCTTATGCCATGCACCCGGGGGGCACGAAAATGTACCGTGATTTGAAAGAAAGTTACTGGTGGTCTGGAATGAAGAGGGAAATAGCCGAGTACATCAGCCGATGCCTTACTTGTCAACAAGTTAAGGCAGAACATCAGCATCCAGCAGGCTTGTTACAACCACTTTCCATCCCTGAATGGAAGTGGGAGCACGTGACTATGGATTTCGTGGTAGGCTTACCACGGACTATCAGGAACTATGACGCGGTTTGGGTTGTTGTTGATAGGCTCACAAAGAGGACACACTTTTTACCTATCAACACTACCTACCCACTCGAGAGGTTAGCCAAATTGTATACGGACGAGATCGTGAGGTTACATGGTGTTCCAGTGACCATTGTATCCGATAGAGACCCACGATTCACGTCACGTTTTTGGCCAAAATTTCAAGAGTCTATGGGAACGAGGTTGAAGTTCAGTACTGCTTTCCACCCACAGACAGATGGACAGTCTGAAAGAGTCATACAGATCTTAGAAGACATGCTGAGGGCGTGTGCATTGGAGTTCCAAGGGAGTTGGGACAACCACTTAGCACTTGTGGAGTTCGCCTATAACAACAGTTATCAGGCAAGCATCGGCATGCCTCCATACGAGGCATTGTATGGGAGGAGGTGTCGTACACCGTTATGCTGGGACGAGGTTGGCATGGCCAAACTCGAGGGTACTGAGTTGGTGGAGATCACCAAGTCAAAGGTAAAGTTGATTCGAGAGAGACTCAAGGCGGCTCAGGATAGACAAAAGAGTTATGCAGATAAGCGCCGGAGAACCTTAGAGTTTAAGGTTGATGACGAGGTATTCTTGAAAGTTTCTCCTTGGAAGGGAATCATACGATTCCAAACCCGAGGAAAGCTTAATCCACGATACATAGGTCCATTCAGAATTATAGAAAAGATTGGGGCCGTAGCATATCGTCTGCAGTTAACTCCTGAATTAGAGAAGATACATAATGTATTTCATGTATCCATGCTTAAGAAGTATGTGCATGATCCCTCTCACGTATTGAAGGAACCACCTGTAGAGGTACGTGAGGATTTGAACTACGCTGTGCAACCTATCAAGGTCACCGATAGGAAGGTGAAGAAACTGAGGAGCAAAGAAGTCCCAATGGTTAAAGTACTTTGGAAGAGCGATCGGGTCGAAGAAGAGACGTGGGAAACAGAGGCTTTGATGAGGAAGCAGTATGCTTTCCTATTCGAGTAGAGCTGTGAATTTCGGGGACGAAATTCCTGTTAAGGGGGGGTGAACTTGTGACACCGCGCCCGAACGTCCTTGAAAATTTGATTTAAAAATTCAAAGTTTATGTATTGGATTTCTGTTTCCCAAACAATTGTAAAACGATTAATGTTTTACGTAATTAATGATCGATTAGTGTACTGTTCGAACTCGTATATTAGTGACGGGCATGCAAATACTATTTGGGTCTTATTAATAAATAAAAGAGCCCAACATTATCCAAATTGTGATACATGACCTTTCAAGACAGTCCGAGTAAGGTCAGACGGCCCAAACGTTATTTTGAGTCCAACCTGCTAAAAATAGCAAGTATTCGAGAATGGCGTTCTAGACCCACTCGGGAGTGACCCACATGGCTAGTAGCCCATTAATATGTATGACAAATGTCAAATAAGTGATAGAATGATTAAAGAAGAATACAAATGCCTATAACCCCATCTTTGGCATTATTGAGCTAAATAATGGGAGTAGGATTTTCCTTCTATAATATCCATCAAGTAAATTATTGGGATGATCATACACATAATGGAGATCAATAATATGATGTAGAGAGTTGACTTGTTCTAAATAAATTAGAATGAGTACAAAGAGACATCTTATGACAAAGAGATCAAAAGTGAGACCCACCCATGTCTAAAAACATCTCATGGAGACCATACCAATTCATTTCACTCCACACAACTTATCCACCCTTATTGAAGGGTCTTGGACACTCCCTTAAGCCCCTCATTCGAACTCCCAAGGATAAGGGAGAAGGAGAGAGCCACACAACCAAGAAAGCAAGAGAAAGGGGAAGCTGCCGCAGGTTCGTTTTCCAGTGCGTAAGGTTACTTGTTTGCTTCATATCTCGAGTTATACACATCCAAATAAGGCGTGCGAGATACCCACAGAAAGCTCTCAAGACGAGGAATCCGTGAAGGTCTGGTTTGCATCAATCGGAGTAGTGGAAGGCTTCCAAATCGTCCGAGCAAAACACAACCTCGCGGAATACGTTTTTGTACTCAAGGTAAGTTTGAATCCAAAACTTTCCTCTCTATTGTCTAAACCATATAAATGATTGAAGAACTATTATACACTGATTGAAGTGTATAAAATGTTATTATAAAGTGACTTTAATTGTTGGAAAAGTTAGATACTAATCTAGACAAAACCTTGAAAGGTTAGGGAACGATTTCGTCGGGAACACCCGTTCTAGGGACTGTTTTTGTGTCCTCGGTTAGGAGTTGAACTAGCACTTTGGAGAGGCTGTTTAACACTCAATTCCAAGCAAGGAATCAGTTCTCAATCTTCCTTGGCCAAAGCTTTGACCATGGGATCAAGAAAGAAAGGTTTGAAGCTCAATTAAGGTGAGGATGACCGACTATATTGCTTATAATTATTGGGTTAATTTCATAAGATTACCTAAATGAATTATATGTGTTTGGCATGATTTATTTATAATATAACAAAATGCCTAAATGAGATTATTATTGTTTATAAGTAAAAGTGCATAATATACAAATTTATGAATAAATTGTGTATGATTATGTATTATGAATACAATGGTATAATAGCGTGTAAACTATAAATCAATTGTGATAAATATACTTTTACCTCATGTAAGGAAGTCATGGAAGGATAAAAGTGATATTTTGATATTAGAACCAAGTTATACTTGAATGTGGAATTAAATTGAAATAGCCAAATTACTATGAAATTGCATTGGCTTATTAAGGTTAAATGATTAGTATAGAAATACTAGCCGGGGATGTTAGCGTAAAAAGTGATAGAACAAATCCTAAGGGCTTGGATTGTGAAGGATGCACCTTAAGTAGTCTTATGAGATGTCTTAAGGTAGGAATGGGTAACCGCTAAATTACATTAGGAGTAGGCCTCATAGGCTACTCAAGATAGAGAAAACCTAGGCATAGAATTTGCTTAGTGAGTAGTATCGTGACTAGAGGAAGCCTCTAGCACGATGAGGAATGACTGGAGGAAGCCTCCAGCATTCGTGTAGGACGACTAGAGGAAGCCTCTAGCGTAGTGTAAGATGACTAGAGGAAGCCTCTAGCATAATGTAATGTGACTGGAGGAAGCCTCCAGCACAAAGTATGAAAGGTGATTAGAGGAAGCCTCTAACACCGAATGTAGTGACTAGAGTCAGCCTCTAGCACGACAAAACATGACTAGAGGAAGCCTCTAGCATAATGTAATGTGACTGGAGGAAGCCTCCAGCACAAAGTATGAAAGGTGATTAGAGGAAGCCTCTAACACCGAATGTAGTGACTAGAGTCAGCCTCTAGCACGACAAAACATGACTAGAGGAAGCCTCTAGCATGGTAAACTGATATAGATGGGTGTGGCTTGAAGTCACGGGGGAGGGGTTAAATGTTTTCAAAGTAAACATGAGCCTTCGGCCGACTACTTGACTTTATATATAAAGTAAGTATATTTGTAAAGAGGGTAACCACGAGTTATGACCTATATTGTAATATCACCCTATTTGAGGGTCTTGGAAATTGAAACGTTGATTATACTTAGTATAGTTGTCATTGTACTTGTCAAATGCTTCCAAGTACTGACCTCCCCTTCACGGGGGAGGCCACCTCACAGTTTCAGGTAGGACTTGAAGGTTGCTACCACGCCCGTTGCTTCGGGAAGATCAAAGGAGGAGGACGTGGTTCGTGCTTCTTCCGTTTCTGTTTTAAACAATTACAATAATGCTCATGGAAATTATTTTGAATACTATTTGGGGGCTTGTATGCCCATGTTTGCCACGTGTGGCTTGAATACGTGTATTAATGTTTCCGCTGCTTTAAATGAATATTTTACATTATGTTTGTTTATGGATGTACTATGTGTGAATGGTATTCAAGACGCCTAGTATAGTATGTATGAGTTGGACTGCGGTTGACTATTCGTACTGTACGGCGGGTTGTTGACGTGTCCGGTAGGTCCGGGGCGTGACAATTTAATGAGCATGAGAACCGGTCCACTAGAATATGACAACAACTCTACACTCATACCCTCCGCAAATGCCACTCAAGCTACTGATCGTTCTGCCCCTTTCCTCGATCGTCATCCTCCCTACGGCGAAAATCACAGATCGTTCCATCCATGTCGAGGACGTGGTGGTTCACATGGGACTGGTCAGTTTTCTTCTAACTCTAGTGTTTGCAGGTTCGGTGATAACCCAGGTCATACAGTCTAGGATTGTCGCAAGCTACAACGCTTCCTGCGTGATAATAGAGATCAAAGCCTCATCCGCAGTCTCCTGTGTGCAAATCATATTACCACCTCAACTCACAACATTGGTCAGCCGTGGTTGTTTGACAGTGGTTCGTCTTGGCGATGGTATGTCCCTGACTATCACTCACACTGGTACTACCTCTATACCTACCCAAGCCCGCTCTCTTGCCTTATCTAATATCTTGCGTGTTCCCCATTTACACAAAAATCGTGTGCCAGTTGCTAAACTTTGCAATACTAATAACGTTTCTGTTGAATTTTCTTCTTCTCATTTTCTTGTCAAGGATCGAGTCACAGGGGCGTCACTAGTGCGAGTGGAGAACATTCATGATGTGTACTATGTTCCCAACTATCACCCGCCGCAATTACATGCCACTCAACTTTTTGTTTCACCTAATTGGTATCATATACTTGGGCATCCTTCTGGTCGGATTCTTAGTTGCTAGATTGTAAAAGTAAAAGTTTACCCTCATGTACTTTGTCGCATGATTTTCATTGTCAGTCTTGTTTCACTAATAATTAAAAGTACCAAGTTGCCATTTTTTCATAATTCTATGAATGCCACTCGACCTCTTGAGCTTATATATTCTGGTGTGTGGAGTACAACTAATAAATCACTTGATGGTCACCATTATTATGCAATTTTTGTTGATTATTATACACGCTATATGTGGCTTTACCCACTTAAGCAAAACTGCGAGATATCCACAATATTTCCTCAATTTCATCGTTTGGTTGAGATTTTTTTTTTTTGATTTTTCTATTACCTCGATCATTATTTTCAGATAATGGTGGCAAATATATAAAATTACGATCTTATCTCTATCAACACGGTATCACCCATTTTACCACCTCCCACACACCCCGGAACATAATGGTATACCAGCTTCCTCGCTTGTTTTGGCAAGGGACGGGCTTAACAAGGGGAAGATGGGGTGCTGCAGGATGTTGAAGACGAAGCCAAGTTGTTACTCTTCGGCATTTTGGGAACGAGCTTTGACGAAACAGATGGCTATTGGTGAAAGCATGGAGTTCCTGGTGGTCGACATGCATCGTGTTGTCGGACTGGAAAATCGAATTTCAGGGGTTCATTGGTGGCCTATGTGTGACAGAAGACGAAGGGATGTTGATCCGCCCACCTCCAAAACCGCCGCCTTGGAGGAATTCTGCGGCTAGGGTTTGGACGAGTATTTCTATTTCTGTTAAGTCGATTGTGTTTTGTTTTTATTTTATTTCGATTGTGTTTTGTTGCTTATTTATTTTATGCTGTAAGACTTTTGCACTTGGATTGGGGGATAAGAGGCCTGCGGTAATCATCGTGGTTTTGAATATGCCCAATTTAGGATTAGCGAGTTATATTACTTTGTCAAAGGTGATTAACTCAGAGTCTCGTCCACAGGCGGATGATTACATGTAGTCCTTTTGTTATTTCAACACCTTTCTGAGTGTTGCCTACTTGAATTGCCTGCCGCAACGAACGAAGGTGTCAAGGACTAGAGAATAATAGCATTAATATTACTGAAACATACGGAGTATAAACATTAAATTTTAAACATACAGTAATAATCACCATAAAAGTCCAAATAGTTTCCAGCAGATATAAAATAATGCTATGAATAAAACAAAAATATATGCTGCAACCTGCAAGTCTGCAAATAATTTTAAAGAATCAATCTTACGTGGTTAGTGGAGTTCCTCGCTCTTGTTTTTAACTTTTTATACTCCGTACTACTACCTCTTTAACGTAAATATCTTCTCACTTTCCTTTTTTTGAACGTAACATTAATATCTTCCCATTTCCAAATATTTCCATCATACCCTCAATAATTTCAAAAATAATACACTATTACACATACTTTTTTTATAAATCCTTCATTCCATCACATTATTTCACTATCTTCCCATCATACCCCCAATAATACATATCTCTTTTCACTATTCTTAATCCACCTACTTTTCAAATGGGAACATCCCAAGGTTAAGAGGTACTCCGTAGTATTTATTTACACTATTTCAAACCGTGCATATTCATCTTTTGTACAATACTCTATCTCCCGAACATTTCTTGTTTTTTTACATCTTTTGTTTGTTTTTTACTTCTTTGGCCTTTCCTATATATTTCACGTGATGTTTTGTTTTGTATGGTTTAAACTCTGGACCCATTCAATTGCTAATGCGTGTTAATTAGTTAATAATAAGATGAGAGACACAACTAATAATAAGACAAAAGTGACATTTCATCTTTTAGCTCTTGTTATTATTCATTCTATGTGTCTATATGACCAAATTATAATGGTTTTTTACAAAAAAAATAATATGACTAAAATAAGACTTATTTACACAAATATGACTAATAGTTGTTGGAAGACGTGTTAAAAATTGCGTTAAATGGTCAATTTTGGGAAATATTTTGAGCGGGTTCCACTTCCGAGTTGGGTCGTGTCAAACTGGTATTGGATTCTCCTTGCTAAGGGCTTTGATTCGATATATGGTACACTCAAAACGTATAATGAGTGAATGGGAAATTGATTCTCGAAGTTCACTCGAGAAAACTAGAAAAATGATGGGCTTTCAAACGGAGAACGAGTGAATCAAAAATTTGATTGGAATTATTGTGGTGGACTTTTTTTTAATTCATGGACGTTTAAAAAAGTCAATGAACTTTTAAATCCATAAACTTTTTTATGAAAGAATTCTATGGACTTTTGAATGATTTGATCTTGTCTGCATTGTTTAAGTCTTGTATGATCTGGTTTGGGACTGAAAACATCCTTATACAGTTATACTCCGTTATATTTTGCTCGTATTTATTTTGCTCTGATCTTATAAGTTTAGTCATTTTTTAATCCTACGAGTTAGAGCCTATTTTGTATTTACTCCACCGTCGTTAATTACCAGCGCAGCAATGCATTTAAAATTTTAAATACTTGACCTATTGTTCTGTTTTTCACATAACCCGTGTAAGCAAATGCCATTTGTTCTATAAATATATGAAACTCGTTCTTTCAAAAAAAAATTTAAACTCGTTTCATAACCTAATGGAATCGCTGTGATATCAATATAAAGCCGCCTTGTTAAAAAAAACTAATGGATTTCCTGAATATTAAGAAATAGATGAAATCTAGACTAAATTGATTATATTGAATAAGTTGAATGTGCTGAACTATAAAGTACATTAAGATATACTACGTAGTTTATTAGTAAAATAAAAAAAAGATGTAGTAAAAACAGCTAATAATTCTATTCGACTAATTCAATAATTAAAAAGTAACTATGACCTTATTTATTTTAATTATTATATTAATGAAAAGTTGATTAATGAGTTTGATAAATAAAAAAATAAATTACTAAATACATTCATAATTTTAAATTGTTAAACAATGCCTCCTCTTGATTTTTGAAATTTAAACAATCCAACAAGAATATAAAAAAAAATGAGAATTTGACGTTGTATTACGTTTGAGGGGACATCACACTTTACATTCCATTTCCCTAAAATGATTGAGGAGTGAATGTAATTATGTAAGCAACATTAATTAATTCGTCCAAAAGGATGAATCCTTACCGGTGGGCGTAGCTCAACTGGTAGCGAGGGAGTGCCACAAGGGTTAGGTCTCGGGTTCGAACCCTGGCAACTGCGATAAGGGGTTACTATGCTGAAAAATGCATAGGGCCTCTGCAAGTACTGGGGACAGAGCCTCACTCTCTATCTATCAGGTTGTGATTATAGTCCAACTTACATCCTCCCATCGTGCTGTCCGGTCGGTGTTGGGGGGCCCTCAGGGATGGGGTGTCATCCTTTTTTCCAAAAGGATGAATCCTCAAAACTAACAAAGCATATTAGGTTGGTAATCATTATGACCTAATCAGTCTAATATTTATAAGAGATATTTCCCAAAAGAGGAATAAAACATAGGAGTTGTGAAAAAATAGGAGTAGAGTTTTAAAATTCCCTAAGTAGGAGTACTTTCTTCAAAATGGACAAGGATGCACCTAGCCATTGCTGCTGCTACAATACTGCTGGCCGCCGGAGTTCGCCGGACTGCCGCTGCCGTCGGAGCTCCGGAGATGTAAAAAAAATCCATATTTTTCCCCGATCTTTCTGTCACCGTCGCCAGAGCTAATCCGTCGCCGCTGTCGGCCGCCTCTATTTGCCACCGCCACATCTGGACTGCCCGCGCCACGAACGCCCTGCCCCGCCACGAACGCCGTGCCCCGGTTGCCCAAGGGATTTGAACTAGGAGGCAATTAATTAATTGGAATAGGGGTATTTGGGGTAAAAAATTAATGTTTACTCCTATTTGGATAAGATTAGGACTTAACTCCTATTCTATAAAAATGGTATGTTTTAGTCCTATTAAAGACAATTCCTTTATTTATAAACTTTAATTACAGTCGTGTGCAGCACCAAAACTTTAATTATACTCGGGTGCATCATAGATTCAAACCCACCCAGTACACATGAATTCTAACTTCTACAAGACCGCTAAACTACATGTACATGTATATACATGGATTAATTAGATTTAGTTTTTTGAATACAGGGTGTAAACTTTAATTTCACTCAAAACATGGGCGAGCCAAATTCTCTAAAAAATGTACCTTGACAGAGTAGTGCGTGTGAGATTATATGTAGTCCTTGAAAATATGATTGCTATTACAATTATTGTAATTTGGCAAGTGTTGGACTGTTGGGTTATTAAGTATTCACTTTCTGGATGAAATGTTAAATATCCACATTGTATTATTACTACTCCATGTTATACTAAATAAACTCTTTATATTTAATTACTCTTATATGAACTAATATTGTATATATAAATCCCGTACCACTATATTTGTCTCGTTTCTTTATTTTATTTTCCTACTACTAAATTTGTCTCATATCATATTAAATACATGCGAAGTTATAATTTGTTCTTTTCTTATTTTTAATTTCTTAGCTCATCAATATCAACCACTTATTAATAAATGCATCACTCTCTTGTCTCTACAAGCTGATCTACACTATTGATGTTTTCTTTTGGACTGAAATTTGCTGGTCTGGTCTGATCTGATCTGGTCTGATCTGAATAGGTCTAGTCTGGTCTGGTAAAGTCTGGTCTATGTGTATTTTATAACTATAGAAGTCCGGTCAGGTCAGATCTGGTCTAATCTGGTTTGATCTGGTCTGATTTGGTCTGATCTGATCTGATATGGTCTCGAACTGAAAACAGTTCAAAAGAAAACCTCTTCACTATAGCCGATGAGTTGAAGACAAGCACAATCTAATTTTTGCTTTGTTTTTTTAATGTTAACTTTTTCATTTTTTCCATCTGGACCCCTTTATTACGGAGTAGTATACACACATCGTATAATTACTCTATAATCCACCCCCAACTCAAATTTTTGAATCCATCCCTAACCCCTAGTCCTAGCTAGTCCTATTCAGAGTGAAATCTTTCATTGAGTTTTAGGATTACTTTTTAATAGAGATGACAATCTCGACCGACCCGTGGGATACCCGCACCGAACCGATTTGGTCAAACTGGGGAAAACCCGTTTGACTGGGGAATGGGTACGGG